GAACATGTCACCAATAAAGCTCGTTTAATTTTATTATAATTATGTTTGTATAACACTTTTGTAGTAATAAAAGTAAAATGACACTTGTGTTAACTAGCTAGCGGCGGCTAATTAGTTTACAACATTGACATTGGAGTAACTCGCTCATAAGAGGTTTTATTTTTAGTATTCCATGAATTATTAAATTATGTACTTACATCATGTATTTTGAACATTGAACAAGTTTTAGATGAGCTCTGACAAGAATCCGACATCGGCTTTTTTCTAAAAGAACCCCATTAAAATTTGAATCTACTGCTCTACAGCAAGCAAATAAAATTGTCAAAAAACCTAACAAATACCTAACAAAAGAAAACAAATTCGATAAAAATATTTTACTAAAGTGATAAGTTCTTAACGTGGGCACACTCTACTGTGTTTTTCTTTGAAAATTCTGAAAGTATTTCATGTATAACCCTCTTGGCGATATTTAATATTTTCGGATGTTTTAAGATGAACTAATATTTGTATTTTCCTCCTATACGAAATCCCTTATCTTTTAATTAATTAACTGTTTACAAATTTGAACAATAATTAATCATCATCATTGAAGAAAGTACCAAGTAAACTCAAATTGGAAAAAGAGTCAAATAAGTCGGTTCGGTTTTGTTTATTTCTTTGATCAGAGATAATGAACTGAATGATGCTGAGATCATGCGGGCTGCGGAATTTTTAATTGTAGTAATGCAAACGCATTTCCAAGTCGTTTATCCATTCAATTGAAACTCATTAAAATAATTGACCTAATAGAATTGGACATTTACGATTAAGAACGCAAATGATTTTAATAGCATCATGATGATCTCCGTAAAGCCTTTCATTTTCAAAGTTACCGACGGTAATTTTTAAATTATACTGGGTGTTCCAAATTCGACTGTCAACGTTGGGATCTCGAAAATTGTAGGAGATACAGGGCAGATTATTATTAATACCTTCCACGAGATCTGGAACACATCCTATTCACTCTGCTGAGCAAATTGACTTTTTCGGCCTCAAAATTCTTACACGATATTGCACAATTCCTTTTACCATTTTTTTTATTAATGGCTAAAAAATAATATTCTTTTCGTGTTCACTCAAACCAGAGAAGCTATGCAGCTTATGTCTCTAAGTTTGGTTTTAGTGCTAAATAAAAACTTCTGCAAAGGTTTTAAAGCGGAAATAATTAACAGAAAATTATATATATATATATATATATATATATATATATATATATATATATATATATATATATATATATATATATATATATATATATATATATATATATATATATATATATATATATATATATATATATATATATATATATATATATATATATATATATATATATATATATATATATATATATATATATATATATATATATATATATATATATATATATATATATATATATATATATATATATATATATATATATATATATATATATATATATATATATATATATATATATATGATGACACTATACTCCGGGATATCATCCGTTCGCTCGTTGAACTCCGACTGGAATCCTGCATCCGACTGGAATTCTGCAAATCCTGCATCCGACTGGAATCCTGCAGACGTTTCGCCAAAATCTCACTTGGCATCTTCAATGCTCGCGCTCCGAAAACACTTCGAACACTGGGAGGTTATCGGCGGTGCGTGCGGTATTTATACTCTGCGCCGGAGATGGTAACGGTGCTGCTTGTGCGTGGGGGGAGGTGGCTCCGCCCCCTGAATTGTCGCGTTGTTAATTTCGCCCGATCGTAGTTGCGATGTCCCCGTTGGCTGCTGCGTATCGCTCTGCTGTTTGATTATCGTTCTCCACGTGTTGGATAAATGCAAAGCGTCGTCTCTCGTATTGAGGTGTCCCGACTTTTCTATTTCAATGGCCTCTCGTATAATCCTAGTCCTAAAATCAGGAATATTAGCTATTTGTTTGCAAGTGCCGAAATCAATTTTATGGCCTGTCTGATGTTGGTGCTGAAACAAAGCAGATGTTGTTTGTTTGTTTCTTATGGCTAAACGATGTTCCTCGAGCCTGGCTGAAATCCTTCTGTTGGTCTGTCCCACATACGTCAGGCTGCACGATCCGCATGCTACACTGTATACTCCTTGGTTTTCCAGAGTAATTTTTTGTTTTGGGTTTCTTAGTATTGCTCCGATGGTATGGTCAGGTTTATATGCCGTTGATATGTCGTGTTTCCGTAATATTCGGCCGATTTTGTCAGTAACCCCCTTGATGTATGGCAGGACAGCGATCGATCTTCGTTGGGTCTCGTCCTGCACTCTCTGTTGCGGCTGTTGTTGTTTACTGATTGCCTTGCTGATGGTATGCCTTTGGTATCCGTTTTGTCGAAGACAGGTACTAATTTTCTTCAGTTCTTTATCTCTGTTCCTCTCGTTTGTGAGCCTGAAGGACCGAGCAATTAATGTATTTGCCACTGCCTGTATCTGTGATGGGTGGTGATGAGATTTAGCGTTCAGATATCTATTAGTGTGTGTTGGTTTTCTATAGACAGTGTGTTCCAAGTGTCCATCTTCGGTCCTTGTGATGTGCACATCTAAAAAGGGCAGACTGTTATCCTCTTCAAGTTCTATTGTAAATTGAATCCTTGGGTGAATGGAATTCAGATGATCTAGGAATTTCAAAAGCTCCTCCTTGCCAAAAGGCCATACAACAAATACGTCATCAACGTATCTTGTCCATAGTTTTGGCTTCAGATTTGCCTTCTCTATTGCTTTCTTTTCGAAGTAAATCATGAAGAGGTTGGCAATCACAGGTGAGAGAGATGATCCCATTGCTGCTCCATCTATTTGTCGGTAAATTTTCCCGTTGTGCATAAAGTAAGCGTTTTTCAGGCAATGTCTTGACAGATCCATTATGTATGGCGGAAGATCTTCGTTTTCTTCTATAAGCAAGAGTGCCTCTTCTACTGGAATACTCGGGTAGAGGGATTTGACATCGAAACTTGCCATAATGTCGTCCTTGTCCATCCTGAGAGAACCTAAAATCTGAGTGAAATGTTCTGAGTTTTTAACATAGGAATCTGCCTTTTCCACTATAGGCTGAAGTGCACTGGCCAGATGTTTTTCCAGCTTGCATAATGGTGAGTTAAAGGCGCTTACGATTGGACGCAGGGGAACCCCGTCCTTATGGATCTTTGGGAGCCCGTAGAATTTTGGGCAACGACTCGGGACACCTCAATACCTCAATACGAGAGACGACGCTTTGCATTTATCCAACACGTGGAGAACGATAATCAAACAGCAGAGCGATACGCAGCAGCCAACGGGGACATCGCAACTACGATCGGGCGAAATTAACAACGCGACAATTCAGGGGGCGGAGCCACCTCCCCCCACGCACAAGCAGCACCGTTACCATCTCCGGCGCAGAGTATAAATACCGCACGCACCGCCGATAACCTCCCAGTGTTCGAAGTGTTTTCGGAGCGCGAGCATTGAAGATGCCAAGTGAGATTTTGGCGAAACGTCTGCAGGATTCCAGTCGGATGCAGGATTTGCAGAATTCCAGTCGGATGCAGGATTCCAGTCGGAGTTCAACGAGCGAACGGATGATATCCCGGAGTATAGTGTCATCACATTTTTCCATCCGTGAATCAATACGTGAGAATATATATATATATATATATATATATATATATATATATATATATATATATATTATATATATATATATATATATATATATATATATATATATATATATATATATATATATATATTCTCACGTATTGATTCACGGATGGAAAAATGTGGTGACACTATATTCCGGGATATCATCCGTTCGCTTGTTGAACTCCGACTGGCATCCTGCAGACGTTTCGCCAAAATTTCACTTGGCATCTTCAATGCTCGCGCTCCGAAAACACTTCGAACACTGGAGCGCGAGCATTGGAGATGCCAAGTGAGATTTTGGCGAAACGTCTGCAGGATTTCAGTCGGAGTTCAACAAGCGAACGGATAATATCCCGGAATATAGTGTCATCACATCATATATATATATATATATATATATATATATATATATATATATATATATATATATATATATATATATTATATATATATATATATATATATATATATATATATATATATATATATATATATATATATATATATATATATATATATATATATATATATATGTATATATATATATATATATATATATATATATATATATGTATATATATATATATATGTATATATATATATATATATATATATATATATATATATATATATATATATATATATATATATATATATATATATATATATATATATATATATATATATATATATATATATATATATATATATATATATATATATATATATGTATATATATATGTATATGGTAAAAAATGGGTTAAAAATCGCTCTATAAATAGATTTCGATTACCGCTCCTGGTGGCATGTTCTCTTGCCAAATCTGTTCACACTCTTGAAGATACAGTATGCCACTACTGTTATGGTCCCACATGGTTCTTGTGAAGTTACTACAAGAATGTCTTTACTGCCCTTCAGACTTACAACTTTACTAGGTACATTGTTTAATTGAAGCCCTGAATCGCCCATATTGAAAATATTTAGAAGTTTATCTAGAAAGTAATTCTCTGTGCATATGCTATGAATATAGCTTTTACAATAACTCAACTTCAACGTCAAGTTTTAGCCGATTTCTAATAAACATTGGCTGAAATTAAATACTTTGCAAACTTTTTTGGTACTTACTAACTATATGTCACCAAATATCTTGGACAATTGTTGCGGCTGCAAGATTTCACTTTAACCAATTTAAACTTCACATAAAAAATTTAACATAAGTTAAATCACCTTGCCATTTGTCAACCATATTTAAATATACGTCCAGTAGCCCGACGAGACATTTTGGAATTTTGATGATATCGAATTTTAAAAGCATGTTTATGTTTCAGGTACAATCGGAGCTATATCAGATGGAATGCACTATGGATGGTCCGCACCCTTCCTCCCCGTGCTGGAAGGTGAAAACAGTCCCGTTACAATATCACATTCCGACGTCACCTGGCTAGAAACGATCTACTTGATCGGTGGCTTGGCCGGCCTGCCAGTTACCATTTTCTGCGTCGACAAGCTAGGAAGAAAAGCGTCCATTCTTCTCGCGGCAGCAGTCAGCTTAGTAGCTTGGATATTGATCGCCGTTGCCAACAACGTGTGGTACATCTACGTGGCTCGGTTTATGACCGGTTTATCTGGGGATGTTGCATTTGTGGCTGCTCCCATGTACATCGCCGAAATAGCTGATAAAAATATTAGGGGTTTTCTGGCAGGCACAATATACGTTATGATGCTGGTGGGCATTCTCGTAGTCTACGCGGTAGCACCGTATGCGCCATTTTACGTTTCCTCGATAATCGGTGCAGGTTTCGTGATCATACAACTAGTAGTATTCCCGTTCATGCCCGATTCACCGTATTACCTTCTTTCGAAAAACAAGTACGACAAAGCGAAGGAGCACTTGAAACGGCTGAGGTCGTCTGGCAATGTGGATAAAGAAATGGAGGAAATCGCGGGCGCCGTGAAACGCCAACGAAGCGAGAGAGGCAGACCTCAAGACTTGGTAATCAACAAAGGCAATCGTAAAGCTCTGGTGATCATGATAGTATTAAACGCGGCTCAGCATTTTAGCAGTATTAGCGTTATGTTGATGAATCTCCATTCAATCCTCAAGGAAGCGGAATCGACGTATATATCGTCAGAAATCGCCGGCATCCTGTTCTCCGCACTGATGTTGATAGCCGCGACCATTGCTGACGTTATTTGCGACAAATTCGGCAGGAAAGCGTTGCTCATATCTTCGAGCCTGTTGAGCGGGATTTCGTTGTTGGTGCTGGCGGTTTACTTTACCTTAAAAAATACGGGTTACGACGTGAAAGATTTGTCTTGGATCCCGATAGCGGCTGTCTTGATATACGCGGCAGTCTTCAAATTCGGCTTGGGCATTATTCCGATCGTGATGACGGCCGAACTGTTCCCCGCGAAAGTGAAAGCAATGGGCATGACGCTGGCTGACTTCTCTTATTTGTTATTCGGATTGATTTCCGTCGAGCTGTATCAAAAACTCTCCGACGCCTTTTATCTCGATTTGCCTTTCTACATATTTTCGGCGTCGACGCTTTTGACCGCCATGTTTTCGTGGCTGTATATTCCGGAGACGAAAGGCAGGACGCTGGACGAAATTCAATTTATATTGAAGGGAGAACCGGTACCCGAAAGAAAACCCAGCAGTCAACTCGAGAAAGTTGAAAATGGTATCGAGGACAAGGATATTACGCTAACGCATATAAGCAAATCAGATACTTCCCAAGATGACGTTCCTGTTAAGTAACTGGCTGAATTCGACGATAACGCTACCGTTTATAGTTTGTAGTGTGGTTCTGAATATATTTTTTTGTGAACACTCGAAACCCTTGTCATAATCGTTTTCACATTCATTGCTTTCGATTTGTCTTTAAGCAATCGCATTCGAGACTGGACGAAGTTGTTAGTTTTATAACAATTGCCTATGTAGTATTGTAAATAAAAGTAGGGTAACAAATTTAAAAACGCGACATGTGATAAAATGAATTGTTAAGTTTGATAAATATTATAAATTCGACGCCAGCCTAAATTAAAGCCTATATTGCATTTTGGTATCTTTATTTCGAAGGTAAATATACTGCGTGATACATAATTTGAGCAATGGTTGACAAATTACCGAAAGATTTTCTAAAAAATAAAGAAATACAATTAAATTGTGTAATGCGTAATTGTCGAGTCATCATGGGATCCCACCCATACCACCGATCTAAAAATGTAAGATTTTCAAAATCTTCTTGTATCTAAAAAATCCAGGATACATTATATTACATTTTTATTTATTATTATTATTATTAGCGCACTAATTACATCTAATACCTTTCCAAAAAACTAAAATAGTTGACGGTAAGAACTAAAAAAAATACTAAAAATGAATTAATTATCCTTTGGACTATATTTACATTTATAAAAAACAGCGCATGGTGAATCAAAGTTAATATCACACAGCAGTACGGTAAAAGTTTAAATATATTTGATATATTGGTAATCTGGACATCATATTGGTTCTACCGTAAAATTATAAAAATGGTCATCACGACGTGAATTTTAGTGTGGAATAAAAAATATTCTCTCCAGTAGGGACGGATATTCTATAGACCGCCTTGATTATCCGTAGCTTGACGACAGATAAACAAATCCGTCTAATCTTAAACAGTTGGAGCCACAAAAGACAATCTCCAAACTAACTGATTTTCGTTGATAGGTGAACATACATGAATATTTGCGTTTACTCTTTATAAACGTTTAACAACAAGCTAAATGGTCGAGATGTTTTACAGTTTCGAACATAGTGCCCCAGTAATTTTGATACGTTTGGCGGCTTCAAGTTAAATTAATGTGAAACACGTATCAGAGCTCTCCAAGGGCATTCCGTTGAGTGTATAGTCCAACAACATGATACAATTATTTTAAATCTAAAAGAGTAAGGAAACCAAATTCGACTCTTGAAGGACTCTTGACGTACCAACAAAATTTGATAACATCCTCCGCGGGGGATGAGACCAATGTGAACGAACACATTATTCACAGTATTCACATTATTGAACAGTGTGATTAAAACTAGACTGAGTAAATACACTTGCAAGGAACTCTGCAAAACCGCCAACTATTGCTTCAGGAGTATGAAAATTTTGATTCATCTAAACGTATTCATTCATCTTAGTCGTACCTTTCATTAAATCGACGTAATTCCAAAACTGGACGCTCGGCTCCATCTCTCAAATATAGATGTTTACTAATGACTTGATTTATAAAAATTTTTGTAAAAGAGAGTCGTGCTTAAACTTACCATAATTTTTATGAGCAATATATTTCTGTTTACTGTTGACTTCAATTTCGGATTCAAAACAATGAGGATAAGATCTTTTATGTTGCCTATATTTAGGTACAGTCTGAGCAAAAATACTATTTAAGACCACATAAAATCAGACATACTCTAGACCAGCTGGTCAATTAAATAAAGCAAGTACGGCATCATGCATGAATAAGGGTTACATTTCCATTGGCCTTAATGCAAAATTTGATTTTGCAGTTGCTGAAAGTGCGGCAACGCGACAGGTTACAAGTTATTAATGTTTGATTGATTGTTCTTCATTATGTACAAAAAAAACGGCACCCAAACTATAACGCCCCTAGTAACCGAAGTCCATGGAAAATTAAATTCAACGCATTTCTCCATATTTTTGGCGAATGTGAGTCTATAATTAAAGAGGTGATTCTTTAAGGTGATTGAATTCATTCCTGATTCCACTGAGATTTTAAGAAAATTTCAACTGAAGCTGATCAATGGCAAAACCAACCCAGGACGATAGGACAGTAGCCCAAAACCTTTGATTCTTATGATTAAAAAGTGCAGTGCGAGTCTTGACTTCTACTGTTCAGTAGCACCTGACGAAGAATGTCCATTCTAATATCGACCCATTAGGATTAGGATATCTTTCTAAGGATAGAGCACCAGGAATGTTAGAAGTCTCCCCTTTAATCAGGCACTAGAAAATTGTTCCGATATTGAACCATATGAAAAATAAAAAAGCATAGACCGTAAAGTGAATGTTATGTTGTGAATGCTATGTATTGTTATTTGTATTGACAAGACCCCTTTTATCTCGATTTGCCTTTCTACATATTTTCGACCTTTTTTATAGCCATCTTTTAGTGACTGTATTTTCTGGAGACGAAAGAGAGAACGCTGCACGAAATTCAATTTATATTCAACCGGTCCCTGAAAGAAAACGAAGCAGTCAACTCGAGAAAGGTGAAAATGGTATCGACGACAAGGATATTACGCTAACGCATATAGGCAAATCCTATGCTTCCCAAGATGTTAAGTAATGTATTTTTTGTTGACCACTCAAAACCCTTGTCATAATCGTTTTCACATGTATTGCTTTCGATTTGCCTTTAAGCAATCGTATTCGACATTAGACGAAGTTGTTAGTTCTATAACAATTGCCTCTGTAGTACTTGTAATATGTAATGTTTGCCAAAATAAAAGCCCATATTACATTTTGGTAATGTTATTTCAAAGGTAAATGTGTAATATATAAATGTATATTTTTATTTATAAATATTTTGAGAAATGGTTGTGATGAATGCTGAATTACAATCGGTGTTAAACGAGAAATTATCGAAAGATTAAAAAAAAAAAGAAACACAATTATATTTGAAATATTCAATAACAGCCCTGATAAAAATTATTAAAAAAAAATAGTTCAGTTTATATATCATGGCTTCTAGAAGAAAGTTGACTGCGCCAATAGATCTTACGTAAAAAAGAACCGTACCCACCACAGCAATAAAAAAATGTAGGATTCTCAAAATCATCAGAAGATCTAAGTTACACGACACATAATTTTTGCGCTCTAACTACATCTAATACCAGCCCAAAAACGAAAATGATTGATTGCAGCAATAAAAAAAAAGCCAATGATGAATTAGTCATCCTTTGGACTAAATTAACATCACACAAGCCAGCAGTACGAAAGTTTAGGCATATTTAATCAATTGTCCATTTGGCCAATACGACTTGAATTACAGAGTGGAATTAAAAAAATAGATTCCACATTAGAAATAAATAGGTGACCATATAATAGATGAATATTCCAATTTACTTCTTATAAACGTTGTTTATAGAAGTTTAAGGGTAAAGATGATTTATAGACCTCTCTAATTTCGAATATAGTATACCAAAAATGTTGGTGCGCTTGTCGGTATTGTTGATATGTGCTTAACACCTGGATTTCTGAACCGATGGGGGTATACTCGAACAACATGGGACATTATTTCGATAAAAAGACAAGATACGTGCACAGAGCACCACTGATTTAACATGAGCAAAACCTGTTTTGTTTTTCCTTACAATCATTGTGACTAGTGATATCCAAAAGTGGGTTTAAGTCATTCGCAAACAACAAATAAGGTAAGTTTAACGTTATAAATAAATCGCTGATGAAAATCAAAAAAAGAAAGAAACCCAAATTCGACTCTTGAGGTCCTCTTGACGAACCAACAAAATTTTTAGAGACATAGCCTATATATTCAACAAAAAGTTGCCTGTTGTCGAGATGACATTCTATAAAAATCAATAAATCACTCGAAAGTCTAATATTCTGCAACTTACGCAGTAATATTTGACGTTAAATTTGCCTTCGGCATTTCAGCGTATACCACACCGATCTGTTTTTGTCCAAAACTTGTGTGATCTACTGATGTGGTGGTTTCCCGAAGTTGCACAGAATTGCAACAGGTCTGTAGTTTTTAATAAAATTAATAGAAGACAGCCGATGCGTCTTCTATTAATTTCAGAATCGGACAGATTTAAGTTTTTTTCCATATGCCTGGATAAACTTGACATATTTGAATATAATTCAATATAACCGGAGGAAGCAATCTTTTACAATGAAACTGGGAATACTTTTTACTCTGCCAGTAATTTACCACGAACAATGTGATTAAAGCTAGACTGCATTATTCAAGACCAACCGCAAAATAAGCAGCAAGAATCCAAGCACCACACGATCTACATCTCCACCGAAGTTATATGTTAATGGACATAATTGATATAATTTGTTCCCTTTGGTACACTCTCAATTTTCCGATTTGGAATACATTTTTTGCGGATTCGTCTACTTTTTGCTTTTCTCTTTTTGCTTTTTTCACCTCCAAATATGGCAGCAGCGAGATGAATGGTAGTAGTAAAGATGGTTGTTTTCTTCTTATTTTCTGTAAATCTGGTTGCTGAATGTAAGTTTTCCAATGATGTGTTTTTTAATTGAACGATTTACTGTTATTTCTGATAAAAATATATCGCTGAATGACAAGATGTTCTTCGTTGACTCCGCTTTGTGTCTCATCGAGCACGTGATTCTTGGTCTTGCTAGACTTCGAGTGGCAGTGTACCTTCATGCATATCGGGACTTTTGCTTGGTATAAACGACGAGTCTATACCTTTACTGGCTTTAAGCGACCTGGAAAAGGCAGAAGACAATTTATCACAGCTCGTCATGACCGTTTTATTGTGTCAGCAATAATAGGAAATCGTCCCCTTAATACGATTCAAGTGCAACAACAGCTTCGTGAAGTATGAAGAGTGGCTATTAGTCAGTGGACAGTGAGAAGAAGGCTACATGAAAATAACTTGACCACAAAAAGGCGTGCAATGGGTCCATAACTTACTCCATTGAAAAGCCCGCTTCGCTTTGCAAGAGATCATCACAATTGGTTATCGGAACAAAAGTGTCTGTTCTGTATCGAAGACCAGGAGAGCTATTTGCAGAATGCTGCATAATAGAAAGCGCTGCTTATTGAGGTGGTTTCTGCATGATCTGGAGTGCAATTTCCATGGACTGATGAACCGACCCAGTTTTCATCGGTTGGGGCGATCATGGTCAAGCCAGAAGAGGTTTTGCAGTTCATGTAGTTCCTGTCGACTACATTCGGGAAGAATTCGGATCTAAATAAATGTTTTGTTTGGGAAGTTCATTCAGTTTGCAAGTTATGCTTTAATGCGTTAAACTATAAAAAAGATAAATGGGACGGTCGGAGCATAT